TATAAAATTGAATAAAATATAAAATTATTATTATTAAAAAATATGAATTTTTTATCAAAAATTTTAAGTATTAAATAATGCCAAAATAAAAAATTAATTTTGCATAGCTTTACCAAAATTATAATCAAATATATAAATAAATTGCCTTATTTGTATCAATATTTTATTTTCGTATTCAAGTATTTCTTGCAATTCTTTATAATGATTTTCTGTTATTTTATATAAAAATACAAGTTTTATTACTTTAGCTTCAATTGTCTAACAAGTACATAATTTAGATATAGCTGAATTTAGGTTTTTATACTAATTATTTAAAGTTTCTGTTTTGATATAATGAGGTTTTAAAAATTGACAAGCCTGAGCATATCAGAAAATATAAAACTTTGACAATGTCGCAGAGGATTGGATATTTAACTCCAATTAGCAGGTTTTTCTATATCTTTTCAATAATTTAAAAAAGCATTTTCACCACTTAGACTAAATATACTAAATATTGCTTCTAAAAGGGTATGTGCTTTTCTAGCTATTAAATAATACGCATCATGTAGTGTTTGAATATGCTGGTTTCATTTAAGAATTCTTAAAAATCCTGGTTTTACCAACCCATACTTAGTTGCTAGCTATTCCTTATCTGTTTTTGAATACTAGCTTTCAATATTAGCAAGCTGTTCTTCAGTTTGTTGAGAAAAACAAGCATTATATATATAATCATAATTAAAATTAGTATACTAATTATTTGGTATATTATATACATAATAGCCATGATTGGTATTATGCTGTTTTATACTGGCCAATTCATTTCTTTAAGGCAGATCTGAAGTAATACACCCAACCCACCTACAACCCAAATATTTCTAATCAAAGTTTTGATAATAAGACTATTTTCTAATTGCTTTATATTCTGAAGCACAGGTTTAATAAAGTTATCAAAGCTTGCACCAAAAGAAACAAAACTAATTAAAAAATAGTTTTTTAATTGCTTTTTAAGAGTTAATGATATATTGCCAAACTGCAAGTAAACACCTCCTAATGAATAATACATATTTCAAAATGTACTAAAATTATCAACATAAATATCAAGAAAAATTTTTAAAGTAAAAGTATTGTGATAATAGTATAAGTGAAATATATTTATAGGGTAACCTATGTCTCATTTTTATATCATGATATTTCCATTTTTTATTAAAATAATATATAATTTTCTGAATGTAAAATTCATACTCTGCAGGTTCTGGTACATCACATAGCCAAATATTAATATATTGCTCTATATTGGCTTGATTAATCAAATTTGTTTCACCCTCTATTAGCCACAATTCCTTTCTATTTTTACGAGTATAGCGATTATTATTAGAATAGATATTAGGAAGATTCTCATGTGAAAGAATTTGATTAACTTTTAGCTTAAGTAAATTCTTATCCATTTCATCAACTACAACACTACGCACTTGGTATATAAATATTGATGTTTTTTCATTATATATTAAGCAATTACCAGCTCTATATAATTCTAATAAAATATAATTAGTTATTTTTTATCTTTTATTTTATTTTATTTTTATTTTTTAGTTTATTTTTGTTTTTATTTTATATAAATTTTATAAAACTAACCTTCATTATTTTTTATTTAATATTCTCCAAATAATGGTGAATTTTGCCATAATTTTCTATACCAAAATTCTTGCTTTTCATCGATTACAATTCCAGAACCAAAATATATCTTTTGTATAAGTTTCAGATTATTTAGGATATGTTCTAGATATGCTAATGAAGAAATAGTAAAGGCCATTTTTATAGGTTTGCATGTGGATAGTGTTCTGTTTATACAGAGAGATATATTTTGATTATATATTTTAGTTAAAAGTAATCTATTTCTTCATTTCTAAATATAGTGAATATTTGTAGAAACATCATCTTTTTGAAACTCAGAATGTGTTATAATCTTGACAAGATCTTTATATGCAGAGGTTGCTATATATATAAAAATTTATATTATCATTATGCTACTATACATATTGGTCTTTGCCTTGAAAATGGCTTTATAGTACATAATACTATAAAGTCATTTTCAAGGCAAAGACTCTATATATATAGATATAGTAAATTAATTTATTCAAGTATTTCATTAGTCAAAATTAAAAATTTTCAATATATTGAATAGAATAATTTAAATATACTATTCAATTAGAGTATACAATGGGCTGAGTTAGACCGGGTTTGTCTGAGCCTGAATTTAGCCTGTTAAATTATGAGCCTAGCCTGTATCTGGCCCAATTTATTATAGAACTAAAAATCTAGGCTGGGTTGGTCCAAACAAAACTTAATCTATATAAATTATCAGTTTAACTTGGCCTAAGCTTAACCTATTTTTACAAGCCCGGCCCAAGCCCGGTCTAATTAATTGAAAATCTAGACCCAAACATGGCTCAAATCTAGCCCAACCCACAAATTATCAGGTTTGGCCTGGCCCATTGCATACTCTATATTTAATATATTAAATTTTTTAATTTTGATCAGTTTTTATACAATATATATACATTTTGTTAAGTTATATATACTATAATATTTAAAAACAACAATTTAAATAGTATATGAGTCAAAACAATCAACTCTTTTCAATAATCTCTCGCACCAAAAATTACACTAATACTGACCTATGAATATTGTATAGTTAGTATGTTTTTTTATAACAAAACTTTGCCAAATAGTATTTGAGTTCAAGAGTTTCAGATTGCATATAAGCACTATGAAATAGAGTTAAAAAAGATAGCTTCTTGTAGGTTTGGCTCTCTAGTAGAAGTCTTATAGAGCTATTGAACAAGTAGCTTTAATGACAACCAAAAAAGTTTTTATCAAGTTATATTAGAGCAAGCACAAAGATAAAAGCTTAGATAAATATACTATTCTATATAATATAGACTCTTACACTTCTTGTTTTGGTGCTTATCCTGGCCTGTCATCTTTGCTATCACCCACTTGTGCTTTCAACAAAATTTTTGAAAAAAGTAGGCAAAACAGCTTACCACCATCAGAAGATCAGTATTGTTTACTTCTTCTAAATCTGGACAACTAGGTGGATTGCAACCATGTGTTTTGGGGTGATCATAACAATAAACACGGTGCTACCTACAGAGGACTGGGACCTTCTATTTATTTTACATCTGGATTTGGTCGTACATTAGAAAGAAGATTCTAGATAAAGTGAAACTTTACAGTCAAGATATACTATAGTTGTATTAGTTATATAATTTTTATTATTTGACTACAAACTGCTTCTTGATAGAGATGGATTGGTTAGCCTATAGAGGCTTTTCTCTTTGTTTTTCTTTTTTTATATTCCCCTGTTTTCCCATTTGTTTTTTTTTTGTTACTATATTCATTAATTTAAATTTTTTTTTATATCTAAACTTACAATAGAGCTTGTAATATTATTTTTTTGTTTTTTATTGGATCTTTGTGTTTTATTGATAGCTAGATTTTGATTATCTAAAAATATTATATTAGATAATACAGTACTAGAGAAAAATCAAATAATTTATATAAATATCTGATTTCTTTTTGCTAGCAGCTTCTTTTGGCATTTTTAATTCTATTAAAAATATTAAAAATTAGTTAAAATAAATTATCAATAATTTCAAGAGCTTTTTTTTTCTTATCAAATTTTCGTTTAGCATTAGGCATGTTTGATATAGATTAATAGTGTCATAGCAATATATGTCTACTTAAAAATATGTTCTTTTTTGTATCTTTTTTTTTTCAAGATATATTGTACTTGGAAGTTTGTTCACCTATGTTCGAATATTCTCTTATTTATATTTTTATGTATCTGTCAAAAATCAACTATTTATATCATTACAATAATATATGATTAGCTATTACTATATGCTATAATAAGTCTATTTCAAATGCATAAAAATTATATTGCTTTCGAATTATATTTTATGCATCTGTCAAAAATAAACTATTTATATTATTACAATAATATATGATTAACTGTTACTATGTGCTAGCGATAAGTCTATTTTGAATGCATGAAAATTATATTGCTTTCAAATTATATTTTATACATCTGTCAAAAATAAACTACTGGTATTTACATCATTACAATAATATATAATTAACTGTTACTATGTGCTAACGATAAGTCTATTTCAGATGCATAAAAATTATATTGCTAGATATATTAGTTATTTAAAAGTCTACTACAGATTTATGTTATACAAATCTATTTATAATATTACTCTAATAACTTTAAAATATCATATTATATTATTAAGAATTTACTGATTTTATATTTATTATAAACACATGAACTTAGTTCATGATTATTATTTCTAATTTGATTATAATTTTAAAAAGGTATATATTTAGCAGTTATTAGCCAGCTAATCAAGCTATCAGCCAGCTAAATGGCTAAGCAACTAATTAAATAGCTAGTTTAATCAGCTTGAAACACTACTTGAAATACTAACAGTAATATTATTAGCTATTATTAGCCAGCTGATCAACTATCAGCCAGCTAAGTGGCTAGGTAGCTAGCTTAGTCAGCTTGAAGTACTAATATTATTAATTAATAAATATATAATATTATTCTAAATTATTTCCAATAATTCTAATAAATTCCTTTATTATGTCATCAAGTCTTTTACCGATTTTACAATTATTGTAAACATGTAATATTGTGAACCTAGTTCACAATCATTATTTTAATTATGCATGATTTTAGTAATAATAGTATGACATAGTTAATTTTACATAATTATTATAGCAATTTCTTGTCACATATAGTTTGTAGTAGCTAAAAAAAAGCTTAATGAGTTACTTATATATATGACAAATTGAAAGTAAATAAAAGAGAAATAAAGATTAACAAAGTTTTTTTTTTTGTCAGCACCTGCTAACTAATATTATATTAACTAATAAGCAAAAGATATATTATTCATAATATTACTATAATAATAATGAAATGTTCAAATAGAACTACTCGTGCATATATACCAATGCCAAAATTGTGTATTAAATCTAAAAACAAATTAGAAAATGCCAAGAAAACTTTTATAGATAATCATATATCAGAACACAATAACATGGTTGATATTAATTTGTTTTTTGAAGAAAATCAAGTTGAAGAAATCAGAGGTTTATCAACTAGCAATTATATCTTACCAAGTGAGGTTAGTATTATGTTCTAAAATGTTCTAAAAAAATATTTTAGAGAATATACTAATTTAATGGTTTAATTTTTATTATTTTAAGCCTAGAGAAAGTATCAATGATTATCAACCTCAGTATAGTTTATTAATTAATACTATAGAAAAAACCTTAGTTAATTATAATGAATTTGATATATCTGATACGAATTCAACTTATGACAATGAAAGCTTATCTGATATCTTAGATGTTGTAGAGAATAGTGATGATAAATCTGATATTTTGAAAGAAGCTTTGGAAACTGATATACTAGAAGATATGTCTTCTGACTTTAAGAGCTTTAAAAACAAATATGGTTCATATTTTTTTTTTTTTTTAATATTAAGATAACCACTTAGGTTCCCGGCACTTAGCTTTATTCAAATAAATACGATATTACATCAATTTCATGAGGATACAACTAGCCATACATGTACTTTTAATACCTAATTTAAGTAGTCCGCCTGGGTTCTATACTAGCCGCTATACTTGCAACCTAACTAGGAAATTACTTATTTAAGCTCTCTGATTATTTTAACTAACAAGAGTATGACTAGTAGGGTTGGGGGCATGGCAAATTTTTGGGGCATGCCTCAGGGGGCATGCCTTTGTGAAGAGCATGCCTCTCTATGCTCCGGGCATGCCCCTCTGGATATAAAAGGGATCCAATCAACTCACTGACAAT